CGGTGGAGGGGGTGTGGGGTGTGTGTGTCCCCTGCAGATGAGCTGCAACCTGGCTTCTTCTGCCCCCCGTCCCTCTCCCGCTCCTGCCAGGCTCCCAGGGCTTGCAGACGCCGACCCCGATGACCGTGGTGACGCTGAGCAATGTCACGCTCCTGAGCGGTGAGTGTCCTGCAGAGCTTCAGCCATGACCTGGGTCTGGGAGTGCTGCAAGGGAGCACCCAACTCGCCCCCCCCCTTACCTGGAGAGAGGACGTCCCAGGTGTCACGAGCTGTGTCCGTTCTCTGTCTCAGCTGAGGAGGGCTCCCCGGCTGCGGGGGCACGGTCCCCTCTGCACATGCCCCTCTTCGTCCTCTGCCTGGTCCTGGCAGCACTGCTCCTGCTCACTGTGCTGGCCTTCACCGCCACCCTGCTGAGGGTGAGGAAGATGAGCGGTAAGGAGCCCCCGTGGGGGCATGGCAGGCTCTGGCCATGGAGGGGGTGACACTGCCAGCCCAGCCAGGGCCACCCCACTTCCTGGGCTCAGCTCAGCCACGGGAGCGGGGCCGGCTGCGCCATGGAGCGGCTGAGCGGGTGCACCCCTCTCGTCCCCGCAGCCCACGCCGTGTCCTCCCTCGGGCTAGCCGGGCCGGTCCTGATGACTCACAGCGCCCAGAACCCCAGCGTGCCCTCCGAGACCTCCAACGACTACAGGGACATGCCCCCCAGCCTTCCCAAAGGACCAGGTAGGTCTGGCAGGTCACTGGCCTGCCCCGGGGGCTGTGGGGCAGGAGGTCCCGGCTGGCGATGGCTGCCCCGTCCCCGTCTCGTCCCCCAGTCCCACCGGTCACAGCCCTTCCCACTGCCAAGGACTCCGACTCCGACTACGAACACTACGACTTCAGCAGCAAGCCGCCTGTGGCCCTCTCCACCTTCTACAGTGAGCATCCCACCCGGCCCCGGGACCCCCGCCGTCCTGCCCCGGGGTGCCCTGGGGTGCCCCCTCTGATGCCCCCTCCTTGCCCTCTCCGCAGACTCGCTGCGCCGGCAGCCCGGGGAGCAGCTGCTCCCGCTGGTGCCCAG